GGAGACAAGACCAGTCACCCTGCACAAGGAGAGAGTGCAGCATTGACCAGTCTTTATTACAGGAGGGGGTGGAGACAAGACCAGTCACCCTGCACAAGGAGAGAGAGCAGCAGTGACCAGTCTTCATTACAGGAGGGGGCGGAGACAAGACCAGTCACCCTGCACAAGGAGAGAGAGCAGCAGTGACCAGTCTTCATTACAGGAGGGGGCGGAGACAAGACCAGTCACCCTGCACAAAGACAGAGATCAGCAGTGAGCGGTCTGACCAATGAGCCTTCTTTATTCCAAGAGAAAGAAGAGTTTCTTATTGGTCAGCGCAGTCAGATGGCCATATTGACCAATGAACACTCACCGTTGCATGCATTATGTTGCTCTTCCGGAGCTGTGCAGTCAAGTTTTAAAGGTCCCTGAGTGATACACCAGCTGTAACATGGGCAACAGGATTACAGTAGCCAAGTGCAATGCAGACCCCTGGGGGTGAGAAGGGTATTGTCAGTTCCCCTTCTCTAGTTTTTGGGAACCTATCCCCGTAGGTACTGTGAATAGGGGATAACAAGCACCTTGGTGACAGTCTATACTCCAATGACAGGTCCTCTTTGGAAATAGATCAGGAGTCCAAAAAGACTCCAGATATTTCTCCATAGGGGGCGGAGGAAGAAATCAAGTCTTCAATCTCTTTCTTCCCAGCACTGACTCCTGAACATGGAAGTGGTCAGTACTGAGCTCTCCTATGTTCAGTCATAGACATATCAGTACACGCTCTTCTCGTGTACGCAGATTTCCTTCCATTCATGAACATGGAAGTGGTCAGCAGCATGTTTACCAACCTCCCTGCTCAGCATCCTGCACAGAAAGGGAAGCCAGGATGCTGACCTGAGTGGCAGTAACAGCTGGGGGAAGGGGTGGCACAGCAGGAGGAAGGCAGACAACGGCTGGGGTGAGAGCGGCACTGCAGGAGGAAGGCAGACAACGGCTGGGGTGAGTGCGGCACTGCAGGAGGAAGGCAGACAACGGCTGGGGTGAGTGCGGCACTGCAGAAGGAAGGCAGACAACGGCTGGGGTGAGAACGGCACTGCAGAAGGAAGGCAGACAATGGCCGGGGTGAGAGCGGCACTGCAGGAGGGCCCATCAGCTAAGCGCATGGTGCTGGGCTGTCACCATTCTTACGAATGGCTGTGATCAATGACTTGTGAGCCACTGGTCACAGCAAAGTCTAGGGGAGCATACTCTGCTATATCGGGTATACAGCCTCAGCACACCAGCTGTGCTTAAACTACAAATCCAACCGTGACTGTAAGTCTTGCAATTCCTCACGGGACTTGTAGTTCTACAACAGCTGTGCTGAGGTGGCCTACCCCTGCAAGACAATTTGCTGGTTACTGAAGCCACCATGAGCTTACAGGAGAAGGCAGAAAACGGAGACACCCGTGTGTCACTAAGGCAGCACAAGGTGCTCACAATTAACTTTATTAGGTAAGAAAACCCCACCGGTGTGTCCCCCTCTTATCCAGGATCACTTTACTGACTCAACTGCCTCACCCGTGCGTCCCTCTGATCCTGGATCACTTTACTGACTCAACTGCCTCACCCGTGTGTCCCTCTGATCCTGGATCACTTTACTGACTCAACTGCCTCACCCGTGCGTCCCTCTGATCCTGGATCACTTTACTGACTCAACTGCCTCACCTGTACGTCCCTCTGATCCTGGATCACTTTACTGACTCAACTGCCTCACCCGTGCGTCCCTCTGATCCTGGATCACTATATGGATTCCATTTTAACCCCTTCATGACTGAGGCCTTTTTTCCCCCTTTTATGCACCCATGTTATATTCCACATTTTAGGCCTGAAAATTACTTAAAACCCCAAAACATGATATTTTCTGAATGCCGAGACCCTATAGAATAAAATGGCGGCAGTTGCAAATTATGTTACACAATATTAGCGCAACTCCTTATCAAACCCCAAATTTAGTGAGAAATGCACTTAAATGCCCCAAAACACAATAAAATACCCATTTGTTTAATAAAATATAAAAGATGAGCTTACAACGAGTAAATAGATACCCAACATGTCCAGGTTATAAATTGCGTGCGTCCGTGAAACGGCAACAAAATTCAGTACTCCAAAAAGTCCATAGACCACGCTTTAAAAACCCCCACAGGTCATCACTTTAGAGATACCCCAAAATACTCGCCCTAAAATTATTGCTCTCACTCCAGCATGCGCGGCAATACCCAACTTGTGCATCGCGTTCGTCGTTTTCATACGTAGGCGCACCCGACGCATGTTCACGTGAATACGCGCAGGTGCAGGGGACTTTAACTTTTTTTAAATTATTTTTACATTTATTTAATGTTAATTTTAAAAACTGTTATTTTTTTTAACTTTAATTTCCATCACATAGGGGTTTACAAGCCCCCCCATGTGATAGCAGATGGTGGTGACAGGTACTCTTTAAGGTGATGCTGGGGATCCAAAAGACCCCCAGTGTCACCTTTACACTCCAAATAAGCTATTGAAGTGCAGATCACACTTCACTAGCTTATAACTGGGCTCCAGGAGCCCAGAACTGACCGCTATGGGACCGGAAGTGATACAATCTGCATCGCTCCCGGTCCCATAGAACGGGGAGATCAACGAACGGAGGTTCGCCCATCTCCTCCCCAGCTTCGCGTCGACACCAAAGAAGCCGTTCCCGGGCCCGCAGGAGGGGCAATGGAGCCCGGGAAACACGGCGGGGGGACAGGATCCCTTCACCGGCCCGTAGAAGCGATCTGGCGATAGCCGAGATCGACGGTCGGCTTTACAAGTTTAAAACAGAGTCCCAGTGGGAGGCTGTGTAAACAGCGCCGATGCCAGTGACGTACACTGCGCGTCGCTGGTCGTGAAGGGGTTAAACCAAGCAATTCCTTCCCATTAAAAAAAAACAACTGATCACACAAACCCTCCAACCACATTAAAGAATCGAGCCAATTAGAAAAACTGAGGAAGACGCTCCTAGTAACCAATCAGCTTTCACACGTCAGGAAAACAAAATCCAATTGGTTCCCACCAGTAGCCGTACGACCTTTGCCCCGGCCCCATAATGAAAGGCAGACGACGACTGTGCTACAGAACATATTTTTATTGTCAAAATATTAAACAAAAAAAAGACAAATGAAGACCATCACGTCAAATAAAACGCAGCCTGGCATTCCCGGCGAGTGCGCCAACCCTAGTACATTTCACAGATGTATAGGCCTGGGAACAAACAACTCAGCCCATCGCGTGGCTACAACTTCGTATCACCAGCTAACCACAGGGACCTACGTGGGTGCAGGGTGAGAAGACTGGTCGGTGGCGTCGGGGGATTCTAGTGCCGCTAGCTTGGATTCTGACAGACAGTCTGCGCTCATAATAACCAGATCCTTTCCAAGAACGTTTCCTCGTCACCTTCACATGGGGAAACATCGAATGAGTGACTCTACTTTCTGAAGAATGTTGGTGAACTTCTCCACCCCATCACAAAGGAGCCCCCCTCCCCCTCAGTATATGTTCCAGAAAAGTTGTGGGTGGCACCCCATTACTAATGAGCCCCCAACCCAATGGAATAAACAAAGCACCTGACCCATCAGTGTTCCACAACCCATAGACATGAAGACACGTATGGTGCAATGCATGGGGGGGCGACAAAACAAGGTGAGTGTTTGTCTGTGGTCATGCGTAAAGTGCCTGTAGGATATTAACAGGCCCGTGCAATGCAAACTACATGAACACGCATGGACAGTGTGAAGACACCGAGACCAACTGCGGCCATTAGTCATCACAGGAGTGCCCAGCAGGACAGATTGAGCCACTCCACCCTCCTCATCAAGTTGTGGAACAGGAGACCTATGTGCAGGGCCGGATTTACTCTCTCTGCTGCCCCAAGGCCAGGATCCTCAATGCACCCCCCTATCTGCCAAACCTTCCTCCATGGAGAATGGGAGACCTGCAGGCTGCATACAAGTGATCTCAATGACATCACTTGTACATAACAAGCGGCGGCTTCCCCACTGTACATTTAGCTCTGCTTGTCCAAAGCAGGGCTAAATGTAGAAAACAACTACCCGGCGCCTGGAACTGCATGTCCGGGCATCGGAAGATAGGAATTCCACACCCTTGCTACCCCAAGACCGGGCCTTGTGGAAAATCTGACCCTATGTGGAGGGCAGCCCAGGACCAGGATTCACATCCTCTTGCAGGACCAACCATGGAAAATAATGGCGCATATGCCGAGCGGAGGATGGAAACAGTTATTCTCCACAGCCAGGACCAGTGCACCAAATTCAGAGGAGCCCTAGGAGATG